CACTGGTACCAGGGGCTGGGTGCCCCCAGCCCAGCCTGTCTGGTTGAGATCTCTGAGGGCACAGCAGCTCCTCATGACAAGCACAGCACTGGAGGAGGACTGGGGGCAGTGGGGCTCTGCCACTGCCCAGCAGCGGGGGTGATGGGCAAGGGGGGAACACAAGGTGGCCAAGCTGAACATGAAAGTAAAGCCTGTATCAGTCTCATGGGCTTCCATGGCATCTTTGATGCATGCCCACTGTTGGGGTACCCTTCTCAGAAAGGCTGGGGGTGCTCCCCAAGGGGTGGGACAGACCTGTCACCAGCCTGCCACCCCTGCTCGCTGGCCACAGACCTTAAACCACACAGCCCTGTCCTAACACTCCACAAAGGTCCTCAGAGACAAGACAAGGGGGAATTGGAGCTGCGTAAGGCTTCTGAAGGGCTGTGCACTGGCACTGGCAGCAACAGTCACATTACCCCACTGCAAATTCACAGCTTCAACCCCGGGGCAAATGGGGCCCTGGCATGCCCTGCCATAGCAATGGTGTCAACATGGCAGGAATCATGGATATAGCCCCCCATCCTGGGGCAGCAATGGAGCCACAGATGGGATTAGGGGAAGGTAATTCCTCCCTCCACTTATACCTTAGCCATGGCTGCCAGGGGCAGCTGAATTGGTCTCCCTGCTCCCTGGCAAGCAGCTTGGGGTGGGAAGATCCTGAACCACCAAGGACCTAAACCCCCTCAGGGACAGGTGCCCCTCGGCATCCATCTTGCTACAAGCATTACATGAATCCCTCCCACACTAGCACTTCCTGCCCCAAGGGATCATCTCTGTCATGCATGGTCCCTTCCCCCTCCCAGCAGTGCTGCATCCCCCCGTGCCCCTCACTGACCTCTGAGGCCTCTGCAGCTTTGTCCCTGCTGGCAGGGGACATGTGGGAGGTCAGCCCAGGAACAGCAGCAGGCAGCATCTGCTCATCTATGGTCCAGCTCACACCACCTGCACCTGGCTCCAGGTCATGCTCTGTCTCCACCAGCATCCCTGTCCCAGCACCGGCTGCCTGCGCTGCTGCTGGGAGAAACACAGCTGGTTCCTCCCTGCCACTCTCAGCACTGCGGGCACTGATGGAGGAGGGAGGAAAACACCCAGCAGCTGAGACAGTACCTCTTGGATGCCTGCAGCCTGGTCATGGCCAGGAGCCACTCTTCAGCTGTGCCAGCCCGTCCATGCTCTCTACAAGGTGGCTTTTCCTGCCCCATCCCTGGGAGATGTATGATGCTCATAGCACTGAGACCAGGCAGACTCTTTGCTCCAGGCTAGCACCTCAGGCAGGGATGGTGCCCACTGACCTGGGCAGGAGGGCACAGAGGAGCTCACCAAAGGCCAAGTCCTACCTTCTGTTCCCCTGCTTGGGTCACCTCCCAAGGTCACCTCCCACAGGATAAGCCCTGTGACTGTGATCTGGGTGAGGTGACCAGGTCCTGGGGCATGATACTCCTCCCAGCCAGTCTTCTTGCCAGTGAGTTACATTTCTGCATAGCACTCCTGTTGTCCCCCCGCAGTGTTGTCCCCTTCCCAGCCCCACCATGGCTTAAAGGACAGTCTGCCCTGGCCAAGTTTCCCCAGCCCTGCAAAAGCCAGGAGCTGCCATCAGCTGCCCAAACCACAGCACCAGGCATGTCCCCAGCCCCTGGGCTCTCCCTCCCCAAAAAGGTGCAGAATTAATAAGCTCCAGTCTGTCTTTTTCTGGCTGCCCCTCACTCCAGGGCAAGGAGAGCCTGAACAGGGCCAGGGACTGTCTTCCATTTCTCCCCACTCTGCAGAGCTGATGCTTCTTCCAGGTGAGCTTAGTCCCCAGCATGTCCATAAGGCACAACTGGAAAGGGATGAGCTCTTCCAGCCTGCCAGGAGCACACAACTGAGATAATATTCTCCACTCCAAGCAGTGGTGTTACCTATCCTCCAAAGGTCCTTGGGGTTTATCACACCATAGCCAAGGACTGAAACAAAAGCAGTATCCAAGATGCCACTGGCCTCAGGCAGCAATGTATCTTGCAGGAACTGGTGGGAGAACAACTTGCAAGTCACCCTGTCAAGAGCTGGGAGGAGTGCAGTGAGAGAGGAAAAGACCCCCAGCCCAGTATCAGCCCCATGTGCCCACATCCCAACAAGAAGCACTAAGAAGGGGCAACAATCCCCTCCAAGCATCCCCCAACTGCTCTCCTCCAAAACCAGGGACTCCTTCCTGCTGGCTGTGAAGGAAATTTCCTCCTTAGCTCCAGCTCAGAAACACCCAGTGGACCCCTATCACCTCTTCCTGAGGTCCCCAGCCAAGCCCAGCCCAGCCAACAGCCCCCATTTGACCAGTCAGAACCAGAGACACTCAAGGCCTGTGAGCCTGCCACAGCTTCTCCCCAGATCCCTGGGAGAAAGAAAATCCCTGGGCTGGACTCTATGGCTTGAAGAGGTTCAAAGCCCTGCTGCCTTCCTTAAAGGGATCTGAACAAGTTTAGTATGGACAAGTTCTTCATGATGAGAACAGGAAAGGTCATGACTCACCACAGACTGGGGCTCCCACAGCTCCAGGCTTGCTTCCTGAATTAAGAGGATCTGAAACCTTATTCTAGAATGTGACAGAGGCTCCTTCTCCTCCCAAACAACCCTATGGCTATCTTTTCACCTCTCTTATTAGGACACAATAGGCCACAATCTGAAAGCCCTGCTCAAAAAACAATCTGGCTTCATTCCTCTTCAAACCTTTGGAGGCACCAAACCTGGGGCCTGGCACTGATACACTGCTTTTCTTCTGACCTCAGGAAAAGCTGTAGCCTTAAAAAGGACAAACTCCACATTCCAGCCAGCTCACTCCCTTCAAGGCTGAGCAAGAGGAACCAGTGCCAAGTTCCTCCAAAATTCAACCACAACCGCAGCAGGAGGAGAGGAACAACGCCCCAGGGAAGGGCTCTTCCACAGCTTACTCACAAAGTGTACTTACTTGAGGGCGAACACAGCAGGACTGCAGCATTTTCAGATTTAATAGCAAGCCTGAGCTCATCAGCACCAGCTTCAACGCAGGGCATCGGAGGCGAGAAGTGGGCGAGTAGATGAAACAGCAGAGGTGGACGCAACGCGCAGCTGGGGACAACAACAGGACTAAAGCCCTAAGTGATGTCATCTGAAAGAAGCTAAATGCTCTGTGGATAAAGGGAGCCTGCAGCTAGTATTTCAGCCTTGCCTCGCAGGGCTATTTTCGCTTAGATTGCCAAAATGTAATTACAGCTAAATCCCCCCTAACAAATACCAGAGAGCAGCAGGGGAGAATTGTATTTAAAGGGAATTTTAAGCAGTGGCCATGGTAGTACCTGATTGCAGTGGGGAAAACACTGTGCCTGGAAAATAAACATTTGGTTGAGAGCTGGTGGCAAATGAGTGGCAAAAGCAGGAAAGGAACATGAGGTCTCAAGAAGCACACAGAGGGATGCCACCACAGCCTGGAAACTGCCCCAGTCCTGGCCCAGTCAGGTGCCAGCAGGCACAGAATGCCTGACCACAGGGAGCAGTTAGTTGTCACTGTTAGTGGACTGAACCTTTCTAGAGACAGCCTAGGACTGACCCTCATTGTGGAAAAAAAACCCTTTGGAAGACTGAGTATTTTAAACTGTTTTCTCTGCCAGTCCTGGCTGCTTTCAGTCTAGACTTCAATAATAACATGAGGGATTTGCAATTGGAGTCAGGAGGCTGAAGGTCTCCCGGCCCTCAAGGCCAGTAATTGTCCCAGACATAGACTGCTAGTTCTGCAGTCATGACCAAATTGGCCCAAGCAGCCCCTTCTCCTGGGGGACTGAGCAGAGCACGTAGGGCAGGAGATGTGCCCCATCAGCCCCCCCTCCTGGGCCTGATGCAAAGGCTCTATTAAAAACGAAAGGCAATTGTGCGATTCCCCAAGGAAAAGAGGAAAAGACTGGAGCTGCTAATGAGTACAATTAGCGTTGTAGTCAAGCAGAATCAGAGGAAATAATTAGCTCCTATTGTTTCCGTGGCATCTGAATTGCAGCCAGGCAACAACCCATCAGTCTAGCCTCACCCCAGAAGACAGGAGACAGGGGGTCACTCACCACCCCTCTTATGGCCGCAGCTTTCATGTAGCTGTTAGGCAGCTTGGGCCATCACCTTCTTCTGCCACACCCACTGGGGATCCAGTTTCACAGACAGCCAGAGCTCCCCAAATCTCAGTGCACTCCATAAGCACAAGTGGCCCTGCTTTCAGCCTTTCCTTGGGTCCAACATAGGGCAGCACTGCTGGTCCTCCACAAAGACAGCCAGAGTCAGGGCAACCAAGTGACACCAAGCACCTCTTTGTGTTAGTTTCAGGGAAGCTTGCATCCCTCTCTCCAACTCTCTCCCAACACAGGGCACTGCTAACCAGGGAATATGAAGAAGGGGCAATGACAAAGAGAGCATCTCATTTTTTAAGCTAGATGTTACATCTCTAATTCCTCTGCCCATATAACTCCACAAATATGGTGAAGTCTGGTCACCACTGGCACTTGGGGTGCTTTACTTCTTCATGTAGGTGGGCAGCACAGGGGAAGATGCTTTAAGGAGCTGGCAGAAGCAGGCCTCAGGCCTTACCACCACCTAGAGAAATACCATACCACCAATATTTAGAGAGAGCCAAAAAAAAAAGAGACGGAAAGAAACAAAGAGACCAAATAATTTATTGGCAGAGCTGAAAGGAGGCATTTGAAAACCATAGGGCTGACTCTCCACT